AGAGAGAGAGAGAGAGAGAGAGAGAGAGAGAGAGAGAGAGAGAGAGAGAGAGAATGCAATATAGAGGCAAAGACCAAATAAAGAATGGGAACCAAAATGAAAAGGGGCAGAAGGAGCACAAAGAAACAGAAGAGATAATAAAACACTCACATTTATGTTTATAGAAATATATGTACACATACACAGGCTGTCTGGCACTGTGTCCCCAGTCCCTGGGGCTGGGAGCGGGGGCTGGGGGGGGGAAGCAGGCTTAGGGGAGAGGAAAAGGGCACAGCTTCACCACAGCATCTGTATATAACCCCACAGGCACTTTTATCTCCTCCCTATGACCGCCCATTTACCCCCTTACCCCTACCATGAGATGTGCCCCCAGTCTCCCTCACACACAAATATCAACCACCTTCCCCTTACTGGTTTGATTTAGGTGAACTTCCTAGAGACCACGATCCCTCTGAAGGGATCTTTGTGGTCTAGTTGCTGCAACCTCTACCATCCTCTCCTTTGCCTCCGACACCCACTTGAGGGGGGTACAGCCCCACCACCACCACCCCTCATACCCTGCCTAGTCCCCAGAGGAACCGAGCTGAGATCAGAGTCCTCCTCCCCTCAGCCCTGCTGTCCCCCACCCCCACCTGATCTGTGCCTTTCAGAAAAGGAATCTGGTTTCCCATCCTGTGGTCTGCCAACCATTCCATCTCCTTTTCACTTAGCAACAAGGCCCAGGGCACCGTGTCAGAGGAGTCTATTTTTCAACTGTTGTCCGTTTGAAGCCGGAGGTATTTTGTACTTAAGATAATCTCCAAATTGACCTCCTCCACTCAAGGAGTGATCTATCTATCCTGCTTCCCCTACCCCTGTGGGGAACCTGCGGCCTTGAGGCCACATGTGGCCCTCTAGGTCCTCAAGTGTGGCCCTTTGACCGAATCCAAACTTCACAGAAATCGGGGGATGTTCGAGGCCGAAGGTTTGCTATCCCTACCTACCCCCTTCCCATCTGTGCTATGTTTGGTTTTTCTAGAGGGAGCAAAGGCGAAGAGTTCTAAACTGTTTCTAACCCGGACAAGTAGGACCTGGTTGCAGCCATTTTGTGTCTAGTGGACAAAAATCTAGCATTTCATAGGAAAATGAGCCCAAGATGAAATGCTCACTTCCAAATCCTGCCTCCCGAGGTCTGTACTTCTCAGCCCCGAACTTTGATCTGCCGAGGGTGTAAGTGCATCCCAGGCAGGGCCAGAACTCTAGACTATTAAATTCTAGTCCTGACCCTATTTTAAAAGCAGAGTTGACCTAATTGCAGTGAGGGAGAGCCCTGAAATAGGGAATATGGATATTCCTTGTTTCTCAAGAGTAGACGTGTTCTCCTTGGATGCCCTCCCAGAATTAGCCTGTTAAAAGAAGGTGAGACTGATGATAAAGCATACTGACCACCATCTGACAGAGAGATAGGGGACTTCAGGAAAAAACTGAGATGTACATTTCCAGAAATGCCCAAAGTGTGGGCTTGTTTTGCTTGATACTGCTTATTTGTTAGAAGAGAAGGTGTTTTGTTTACTAGGGGGAGGGTTAGAAGGGAAGAGGGGGACTGTCGATCCTGAGGTCAAAAGAAAGAAAAGACAAAAAAAAAAGAGTTCATTGTAACATTTTTTAAATCACAGAAGAGAACAGAATGAGGTTCTGAAGGAGAAACAGACAAGCACAACAACTTTGAAATGAATATGTTGAATTTATTTTATTTTTAAAAAAATGTTAGTGGATGTAATAGATTCATGGTTTCATATATAATCCTCTTTTTCTGTTTGGTATATATGAAAATATTTGTACTTGTTCATAATTTTCAACTTCAGAATAACAAAAAAAATTAAAGTTAGTTTTTTTAAAGGGAGTCAGGATTGGAGCTGGGGAGCATCAGGCCTCAGGAACTGAACTGGCTTCAGTCTGGAGGAAAGAATTAGGAAGCAGAGGCAGAAAGCTGTTACTTTGTAGGAGCCAGCTGGGGAAGAAGCCTAAAATCACAGGATTGAAAGCTGGAAGAGCCTTTCATGACCTTCTAGTCCAAAGAAGGCAGTGGAAAGAGTGAGGGATTTGGCGTCAGAGGAACTTGGGTCCATAAGCTGGCCCTGCTACAAACTACCTGTTTGAACTTAGTCAAAAGCCATTTAACACCTCTCTGTCTTTAATTTTCTTGTCTGTAAAATGAGGGGATTCCATTGGATGGCTTCTAAGGCCCCTTCCAGTTCTGAATCTATGATCCTACAAACTCTTGCATTTTATAGGAAAGGAAATTGAAGACCTAAAAGAGTAAAGTGTTTTTTTCAACATCACAAAGGTAGTAAATAGCATTTGAACCCCAGGCCTTTGACTTCAGTTCATCAGTGTCTTCACCACACTATGGCATATCATCTCTACCACTCCAAAATACCAAATATATGACTACAGAAGCAGGCGCCTCTCCTCTCTTCTTCTTTCCTCTCCTCTCCTCTGCTTTCCTCTCCTCTCTCCTCCTCACTCTCGGTGTCTTCCATTTATATGCACCTTCTCCTGCCCCACCATACCTATTTTTTTCTCTCTACCTCCTTCCTTCTCAATCTTAATTCTTGCCTTCTCTTTCCAAGAACCGGCACTAAACATTGAATTTCCACTCCTTTCTTTCCCTTTCACCACCCCCTCCTCTCCTGTAGGTATGCTTCTTTCTTTGCCTTTCCTGCCCTGGAAAGTCCTCCAGTCACCAGAGATTCCTATTCCTTGACCCTCCCTCTTCATCCCAGTTTCCCCACCATTTCTCCAGGCCTCAGTTTCCTTATCAGTAAAAGGGTGGGGGAGAGAGGATGAATTTATCACCTTTAAGGGCTTTTCTAGCTCTGGATCTAAGATCTGATGATATTTTCTTATTTCCCTCACCCATACTTAGATCCCTCAACCTAGGAATGAAAAGTGGAACTCCTGTCTGTCTTACCTCAAGTTGTCTTTTTTTTCCTCCCCTTTTGATCAGTATCTGGTCCACTGATTGATGCAGGTATGTCCTCATGAGAACTTGGAGCTTTTTACCCAGAAATACAATAGGGAGAAGGTTTTGCCATCTGTCAAGACTGCAGTGGAGTGATGAAAGACAGGAAATCCGTCAGTGAAGTGCTCTCCAAACTCCTAGGCCTAGCCTAGCCCTGCACGTCACCTCTCTAGCTTGGGTCCCCACCCCTTAATATTCCTGTATGTTCAAGACTCAGAGTAAATGTCAAAGTGAAATAGCTTGAGTTAAGGGAAAAGTTGACCAAATGGAGAATAGAAACCTACAGTTATCAGCATTTCAATAAAATTGCAAAACACAAAGACATTGACACCGTCATCTGGACTGGGCTTCTAGGAAAACAAGAATCTCGGAAGAAAGGAATATATGCATGTAGGAGTAAGAAAAAGGATTAGGAGCATCTCTAGAACTATCCCAGGGTGATTGATGGGCCATCTGCCTATGGACTTATTAGTGTTTTTTTATACTTTATGAGAAGGTTGTCAGCAAGGCCAGTCACACCAAGAAGCTGCTTCATAGCCAACATACCCAAATGCTCTGTAGTGGCTGTCCCACTAGGGATCCAGTAGGCCTTCCTGGACCCTGATGCTTCACCTCTTTCATCATAGGTTGTCCAAGTAGACCAAAGAACATATCCATTGCTTCCTTTTCCTGGAAGTTGGGGGATAGGACAATGCTTTTTCCAGGGCTTCCAGGAGGCTTTTTAAAAAAATTTTTTATTAATTTATTTTGATTTATCAACAATCACTTCCATATGCTTTTGAGTTTCAGGAGGCTTTTTAATAATGGACTACTGCCTCATTACTACGAATTTTGAAGATTCATGGTGTTCCAAGATGGAGGAGGTGGGAGGAGACGAAAGTGTTTGGAAACTAAGGTGGGAAAAGTCAGAGAGTAGAACCAGGTGCCCCTACTCCTAGATCCTCAGGTTTTCCTGGCCTGGAGGGGCAGCTAGCATTGATACAGCTAATTGAAAGAATTTTCAAGCTCAAGATTTAGGTTGTTAGTTAGACAGGAGACAAGAACCTGTAAAGAGGGAAAATAAAAGGCCTCCAGGTGAAGCTGTCTGTGTTTGGTGTTTTACCAAACAGTAGCTGTGCCTGGATTCCTCTGTAAAGGCTAGAGTGGGAGATACTGGCTAAGACTGGACCAGATGGGGATTCCTTTCGCATCACCAAGAAGAGCTGATCCTGACTGCCTCAAATTCTGACTCCTTTCCCCCAGTGCAAACATACACATCTTTCTGAACACCACTCGATCCTTTCCCAGACTCATTGCTCCCTCCCTGTTCTTAGGGCCTCCCCACCCCTCACCCATTAGAGATCTGAGTAGTCGAATGCCTAAGATCTCAAGATGGCTGAGGCAGCTGACACCTGCAGCTGTGGCTGTGGCAGAAACTGTCAGTCAACAAAGGCAGCCCTCTCCTCACTTCCTCAGAAAGGTTTCCCCAGCACCCTCACCCCCACCACCCTTCAGAGGAGCTGATGCTCCTCCTCTGGGAGAGGACAGGAAGCAATAGGTTTTTGCCCAGCGACTCTGGCCTGTAAGGGAACCCTCTATTTTAAAATATATATTTGCACTGGGGGAGAGGAAGCCACAGTGGTCTAACTCTAAATTCATGCTTTAGGATATTCAGTTCCAGTCTTCCCCTGTCTGGTCCTTTGACAGTCAGACCCCAAGATGGAAGGGTCAGGGGATGGACACTGAGGACATCTGAGGCATCAAACTGGTGAGGCAACACCTTCCTAGGTGATGGTGCTCTCTGCTTCCTGCCTGCTTGATGCGGGCTGGTTAGACACCCCCACTGGGGTCATGGAAGGAAGTCAGAAACAGCTAGAAAGATTGATGAATTCATAAGCATATCCTCTGGCTGTTTGTGATTGGTGCATTCAAAAGGGCCTGGGATCTGCTTATTCTAGCCTGGGGAGTTGCCTAATCAACTTGAGCTTACAAGATGGTAAGCCTTTGACTAAATCTTCCTATGGAGGGTATGACCATGCTCCTTGGCATCTCATGGAAGATGGGTCTCCGTGACTGGGAAAGAATTGACTGGCAGGGACTGTTATGGAAGATACTACCTTCTTTGTGTTGGGCTTATAAAAAAGAGCGGACAACTTGCTTTTTTCCGTTTCCTGAGCACAGGTTACAGACCACAGATTCCTTTTCCACTACCCCCTTCCATAATACGCAGCTCCAGAGACAGCTAGGTGGTAAGGTGAATAGAGCACTGGACCTGAATTCAAATCCAGCCTCTGACACTTACTGTGTGACCCTGGGCAAGTCACTTAACCTCAGCTAGCCTCAGTCCTTCAACTGTAAATAGAGATAATAATAGAAGCTAACCTCTCAAGGTTGTTGGAAGGATCAAATGAGACATTTGTAAAGCACTTAGAACAGTGCCTGGCACATGGTGGGCACTTAATAAATGCTTGTTTTCTGCTTTCTTTTGCTTCAGGCTAGGAAGTCTTGGCATCTTTCCCCAAACCTCAAGAGAACACCTGGAGGTGGGGCCAAGATGGCAGAGTAAAGACAGGGACTCGCCTGAACCCTCCCCCAAACCCCTCCACCAAACCCCTCCACATACCCTTTAAAAATGATGCTAAACGAATTCTAGAGCAGCTGAACCCACAAAAAGACAGAGTGAAACACATTTACAGCCTAAGACAGCCTGGATGGTCTGCAGGAAAAGTCTGTTGCAACAGGATGAGAGAGGAGGGCAGTCCAGTGCAGGCCAAACCAGCACAACCCTGACCACAGCAAACCAGGAGACGGCCTTGGAAGTGACTGAGTCAGCAGCGGTGGCGGTGACCAGCTCTCAGCCCAGAGACGGTAAGGGTCAACTGGTCAGAAGAAGATTATGGGGGTCTTTTTGCTAGCACTGGAGGACTCTGTTGCTTTACCCATATTCCGATCTGGGTCACAGGATTGGGTGGCAGTACAAGGGCAAGGAGGAGCACTAGCATAGCAGACCTTGTGGCCACAGTGGAGGGAGGATCCTTCTCACAGTTCCATGGCAGAAAAGAGTGCTTATGGTCACTCGCAGACCAAAGCACAGGCCAGGAGAGTAAAAAACACCTCCCCTTAGATCGTGCCACCTTGGAAGAACTGAAAACTTACAGGTCCCTGTAACTATTTCTGAAAACAGCTGCATAAAACCCCTGAAGCTTGGGACAGTGAGTCCTCTACCCTGGAAGCAGAGCCCTACTTTAACAAAGAGTTAAAAGTCAAGTAATAGGCTGGGGAAATGAGCAAACTCTGACTATAGAAAGTTACTATGGTGACAAGGAAAATCGAACACATACTCTGAAGAAGACAACAAAGTCAAAGCTCCTAATCCAAAGCCTCCAAGAAAAATATGAATTGGTCTCAGGCCGTGAAAGAGCTCAAAAAGGATTTTGAAAATCAGGTAAGAGAGGTAGAGGAAAAACTGAGAAGAGAAATGAGAGTGCTGCAAGAAATCACGAAAAATGAGTCAACAACTTGGTAAAGGAGACACAAAAATACTGGGGAAAAAAAGCATCTTAAAAAACAGACTAGGTCAAATGGTAAAAGAGGTCCAAAAAGCCAGTGAGGAGAAGAATGCCTTAAAAAGCAGAATTGGCCAAATGGAAAAGGAGTTCCAAAAGCTCAGTGAAGAAAATAATTCCTTCCCACATGTACAAAAATATTTAAAGCAGCTCTTTCTGTGGTGGCAAAGAATTGGAAATTGAGGTGATGCCCATCAATTGGGGAATGGCTGAAAAAGTTGTGGTATATGAAGGTCATGGAATACTATTGTGCTGTAAGAAATGATGAGCAACTGGACTTCAGAAAAACCAGGAAAGACTTGTACAGACTGATGTTGAGTGAAGTGAGCAAAACTAGGAGAATGTTGTACACGGTAACAGCCATGTTGTGCAATGCCTAACTCGGATA